CAAATAAGGAAAGAGGGAAGGCTGAAATAAGCCTTGTGGTATTGGATTGGAATAGGAACTATGATACAAATCAGGCTTTTAACATATATACAGATAGATGATCTATAGATGGACAGGTAGAGAAAGGGACATAGAGATCTACAGATGGAGAGAGAAATAAATACATATATATGTGCATGTACAGGATAGTATGCATACATATATGTCCAAGTTCTGTCAATCAGGGTGCTAATCTCAATCTCCAATAGGCATGAGAGTTCTTGGAGATGTGGTTGATAATAGGGTAGGAGGCAGGAAACATACAAGATAAATTCGGCGCATCAGGTAGTATCAAAACTTAAGCAAGTGCTCAAGAAAGGAACACATGTCAAAAGAGCACAGGAGGAGCCAGTCTGAAGAGCTCACACCTGGAAAAAATATGAGCACCAAAACTAATAAAATTATTTTTGTTTATAACCCAAACAGCAAAATAACTGTGATTCTATATTGAGACATAGGACCATCAAGTTCCCCCTCATATTTGACAATGGAAAGTACATTCTTTCTGTGTTACTCTTGTCCTAAAGTCCCTAAATCGAGGGAAATTCTACAAAATGTCTGACCAGTACTCTTCAAAAATCTCAAGGTGATGAAAGAAAGGGGACTATGGGGCTGTCACAGATTGGAGACTAAAGAGATGTAAAAGCTGAATGCAATGAGATCCCAGATCTTGGAACAGATAAAAACATTAGTGAAAAAGCTAACAATGAAATCTGAATAATGTCTGTAATTTAGTTAATACTTGGTACCAATGTTGATTTCTTAATTTTGTTGAATGTTTCCATGGATATCTAAGAGGTTAACAGTAGAGAAAGCTTGGGAAAAGACATGCAGGAGATCTTTGTACTAGTTTTTACCTTTTAGTAAATCTAGGAGTATTTCAAATTAAAGGAGAATAAAAAAGCTCAGCCTAACAGACACAGTACCTTATAATTTCCACTTTTACTTACTTCATTCACACCTCCCATATCACTATCTCCAATGCCATAACTGGTTATTCTGCTTTGTTTTCTTCTTATCACATATTCTACTAGCCTCCCATGAAAAACTTCCTGTAAATTTAAAGCTAGCAAGTATCTTGGAGATTGTCCAGTAGATAATGCCTTCTCATTTCAGGAAAAGGAACTAACGGCTGCAGAGATTAAATAGAGAGTCCAAATCCTTCAGCTAGTGAGTGTTGGCACTAAACTTTCCAGAAAAGCTCTAGGAAGGAGGCATTTAAGAATCACAGAGTTTTCATAGGTGGTTTTCTGATGCCCAAGTTGTAAACCATAGACTTGGGGACCCAGAAAACAAAGTAAAAAGCAATTTGGGAAGAGGGTCGTTCTTCCTGTTCTCTGCTGAGTCTTCTAATTCTTGGATAACTAATGGACTGCAAGGACTTTGGGCTTCTCAAGAACTGGGCAGCTGTGTGTGGCAGCCCAGGGAGGGGACACACCATCACAGGCCATCAGTGGCAGCCACAGAGGTCAGGAGTGAGGTCTCAAGCAGGAGCAGAAACAGGATGTGGTACACAGTACACAGGAATCCCTTCAGAAAAATAGATGGGAAAACTAAGAGAGACTGTATTGGCCAACAAATCTCAATATTAATGTCAATGTGACCTCATTTACCTTCATTAGCTGGTAAAGCCTGACTTGCAATTGTGGATTACAGAGAAAAGAATAATGGATAGGATGCATAAAAAATAGAAATATGAGGGGATACTGATGCTGAGTCTCACAGACTTAAAAAGTCGACTTTAGGCTGAGGGGGCCTAGCATGATTTCTCATTCTTGACACAGTCAATACATTGGCCCACATAATTGCTTGTTGTGGGGAGTTATCTGGTGCAGTGTAAGATATTTAGCACCATCCCTGTCCCCGGTTTCTACCTATAGATGCCAGTAGCACACCCTCTTCCCTAGTTGTGACAATAGAAAGTATCTTTAAACGTTGCTAAATATTACCTGGGGAAGGGCTGAAAACCACCGAGGTAAAGAGAGCTGAGAAACAGCATTCCAGGCAGACAAAGCAGTAAGAATAAAGGGCTGCCAGAGAAAACATCACAGGTGCCAGGGAACAATACACAGCTCAATATAACTTAGAGCCTAACACCCAAGCTAGAGAGAGATAAGAGGAGAGGGCTATCAGCAGGGATCCATTCATGGAGAACTTGAATAACAGTGTACATTTCAATAAACACTACTTCCCCCTCCACATCTGCTCCTTACCTGCTCTGTAAATCATGAGACTGCTTTTATTTTTTTTTTAAAGATTTATCTATGCATACAAGAACTGGGGTCTACTCTTTTTGCACTCCCACTGTGGAGAGCTGTGTGGAGATTTCTGGACCTACTAAACATAGAGCTTCCATATGATCCAGCAATTCCACTCCTAGGTATTTACCCAAAGGACACAGAAACATCAATTCCAAAGAACACCTGCACCCCTATGTTTATAGCAGCACTGTTTATAATAGCTAAGCTTTGGAAACAACCCAAATGCCCAAAAATAGATGACTGGATCAAGAAGATGTGGTACATATATACCATGGAATATTACTCAGCATTCAAAAAAGATAAACACATGCTATTTGCAGCAACATGGATGGCACTGGAAGGGATCATGCTCAGCGAAATAAGCCAAAAAGAAAAAGAAAAATATCGGATGGTCTCACTCATAGCAGGAATCTAGAAAACTTAAATAAGAGACCAGGAAAATGAATAACTATAAGAAAGTGAAAATCAAAATCAACAAAAAACTATGAACCAGAGACACTTTTAGGGGGGTGGGGGCGGGAGGGGAGGGAATTGGGGTCAGAATGGGGGGGCTGCAATTGTATGGGGAATATAAAAATAAAATTTATTATTTAAAAAATAAAAAAATAAAACCTGCATATTAAAAATAAAAAAAAAAAAGAACTGGGGTCTAGACCAGAGGTGTGGGAGGTGAGAGGATTCATCAGAGACCAAGTGGGGAGCAGAACAGGTAGATTGACTAAAATATACTACTGGGGAGAGCAGCAGGCAAGACAGGTGAGGTCTGCTGCACCATGTGGGTTATCTCCCTGGCCAGGGATTGAACTCATGCTGCAGTGGCTGCAGATATCTTCATAGTGCTGAGGCTTAACTCCTTGCACCACCAGCAAGGCTGATTTTAATGGTGGCATCTCAAAGGCTCACCTGTCCTTTGACCACCAGCTGGCTTTACCTAAATGATTTTGGCAAGAAATTGAATGGTGGGAGTAAAGAGCTTGAGCACTTATCTTACCAATTTCCTCTCTGCAGGGGTATCATCTGGCAATGGCTACATTCTCCCAAGTTTACAGCTCCTTTTCAGGGACCCCACTTTCTTGGCTGTAGCTCTCATTAAGTTCTGCTCCATCATTCCTTCTTCAGACCCATTTTAAACCAGGGCAGGTAAACTCTTACCATGTTCCTGGTCCTGTGTGCATCTAACCTTTTTTGTTTCTCTTATCCTGCCCAAACTCTGTAAACAGTCCCTTCACTAGTTTCTCATCAGTTAGACCCTGTAGAGTATGGTGTTTGTTTCCTGCTGGGAGGTTCACTGTCACACTGCAAAGATGATAGACTTAATCCTACAGTTGATGGAAAGCCATTCATGATTTAAAGCACAGGTGAAGTAAGGTTAGTTCAGCATTTTATGTTTCACTATGATAACTGTGAGCAGCAAGGATTTCAGGGGCAAAATACCTATTTCAGAAAAAGGAGTGAGGAGGACTCAGCAATAGCCCTGGTCACATAAAGTGATTGTCTGAACAGAACACAGGTAGTATGTATGGAGAATCAGTAAGATATTGGGAAATAATTAGGGGTTCAGTTCCTTAGAGTTGGTGATAGAATGCTGCAGATGAAAAAAAAAAAGGTCAAAGGTGAAGGTCAGATTTCTATCTTAAGTTGTGACATCGTGGTTACTCATGTTTATGCCAACAGAATAGAAGTTCTGCAGAGTTTCTAAATGCTAGAGCAGAAGTATATTTATTAGAGAGACTAGAAAGTTCATTTCCTGCATGCTGAGCTTGAGGTGTGACACAAGTGGAGGTATTCAGCAGGCAGTAAGACAAGCAAGCACAAGGGTTTGACAGTGCTTTGAATTTTACATGTAGATTTCAAGATCATCAACACAAATGGGATCTGTAACTTTGGGAGTGAGATCAGGGAACACAAATAGTTAAAGAAGGGGCAGAGGAAAGGTGACTAGGAGGAAACCAGAGAAGGAATGATTAAAAACGTACCAGAAAAACCAAAGCATGTATCAGCCCAGAGGCCCCTGGAGTAAGGACTGAGAAGGAGAGAGAAGCATCAAGACTGTCAGTTGCAGAAGTATCAAGTGATCAGGGTTGCCACTACAATATTAATATTACCGTTGAAAAGTAGTTACTGCTTTTAATACTACATTTGATACTCCTCCCCCAGACTTGTTATGGGCATTAATGTGAGAGCATATGTAAAGTTTCCAGCACAATGGTAGCGCATCGCAGGCATTTCATAGTTTTTAGGTTAACTTGTCTAAAATCCTTTATAAAAATTCACACACTATAGACAGTAAAAACTGAATATCAATTTTAAAAATTAATAAGAAATGGCACAAATTTCATTATAGCTAAGGATAGTAACTTAAGTTTGCAATGTCAAAAGACTGATAAAGAATTTACTATTTTGGATGAACATGTTCTCAGAGTAAGCAACACTCCATGAGCTTCTAGATCAAGTTTGGGGCCCTACAGGGTAAAATTGCAGAATTGGCAGCAACTGAAGCTAAGGGAATCCTAGCAAACATTGTTCACCATTTTCTGGTACAGTGTGTAAGGCACAACCAGTTGGAACTTTCTCTGCATATGTAATGGTTTCAAAATTTCAAGACAACATTTAAATTTTTACAAGTATGGACCAAGAAATGCCAGTATTAATATCCACAGAGCTGATACAATCTGTGCATAGTTTGAAAAGAATATTTACCTTTTGATGTAAACCCAACTGGCACACATCTTCCTTGGACATACAGGGTTTTCCATCAGCTTTCCCAGAAGACAGACAAATCAGCAGATCCCAGGAGCCCAAATTATCTAATAGCAAAGAATATTGAGAAAATAATCAGCCTTTTGAAGGCTCCATTTACTTCTTCAGATTAAGTAATATAATTACATGAACCCTACAAGCAACAATAGTCCTGGATATATTTAAAAGAAAAGTCAATATTCAAAGTAACTGAAGTGCAACTTTTCTAATTTAGCAGGTCTAATATTTTCATATTTTTGTATCCTGAGAAAATTTACTTATCTGAAGGAATATCATAAAATTCCTTTAAAAAGCTAAAATTAGAATGTTCCAAGTCAATAATTTAATAAATTTATAAAGTCTTACCTGGAGATAGGCAGGAAAGATGGAGATAGTTTTAAGATAGGAGATAGTTGTGATATCAAATAATGATAAGAAGTCAAAACACCAAATATTTTGTTCTGGGCTTTGTTATCACTGCTACTTTTATAGATTTTATTTCATTTTTTTAAAGATTTATTTATTTATGCATGCAAGAACTGGGTTACAGGCCAAAGGTGCGGGGTGTGGTGGGGGATGAGAGGATTCACCAGAGACAGAGTGGGAGCAGAATAGACAGACTGACTGAAATACACTGCTGAAGGGAGTAGCGGGTGGGCAAGACAGGGGAGGTCTGCTATGCCATGTGGGTCATCTCCTTGGCCGGCCAGGGATTGAACTCATGCTGGAGTGGCTGTGGATAGCTTCATAGGGCTATGCTTAACCCCTTGTGCCACCAGAGAGGCCCTTTTTATAGATTTTAAACAAAGAATATATTTTCATAAGATATCTTGCAAAAAAATGTGTGCTAGGTAGAAAATAAAATTCAGGGAGAATATAAAAAGACAAGTTTTGTGTAGAAGAAATGTGTGGTCTAGTTACAGATAACAGAGCCCAATTCAAAGCACAGACTATGGCATGAACCAAAACAAATGATATTTCAGTTCTTTCCCAAGGACAAAGTTCTTTGCCAATAAATCATAGTAACTTGCCAAAACAATCTCATAATAGTACGTTATTGCATAATGCCTGAACATTTTAAAATTAACATTTGTGTGTAATATATCAGTTTATTTCCCTTACTTTATATGAATTTTTATCAATGTTACATGTAATTAATGCATTAAAAATTTGTTAGTCCATGATAGGGTGATAAGCACATTATTTCAGAGAGGACACATAAATCGGTATCTCAAAAACAATAAAAAATACCACTAAGTATAAAAGCTTTGGGAAGCTTTCCCCAGTTTTGGATGGGAATCCAGTTTTTAAAAATTAAGCAATTTCTGTACAAATGACATCTTTTGTTGTTCAGTCCTAAAATAAATATTCCTTTGAGTAAGTCTTTATGTCAGATCTAATAAGTCATCACTTGCATTAAGTATTAGTGACTTTAAAAAGAAAAGAAAACCAATTATTTCCCAATTCTATCTTTTAAAGATTTCCCCCAAATTTTTCATGTGACAGCATAATGCTTTCAAAGAAGGGATTTCTAGGAAAGAGCAGAGAGAGATGAGGAAGAGTGATAGGTAACAATTAGAAATGAAATGTCATGCTCCACTAATCAAGTCCATTTTCCACTTGACATGCCCTATGGTGTTGGAACTACTGATTCCTCTGTTGGTCACTGTCCTGTTGCTGGGAGAGAAATCTTTGCCAAACTAAGCGTTCAGACAACAGAAATCAAGTTCACCTCTGAGCTAGTCCAAGAACTCTGTTTGCGTTGTGTACCTCCATGATGATGGAAGAGAACAAAAAAGTTCAGAGGGACAAGAAGAAATGGGGTAAGCCATTTGGGGTTGTGGGAAATCTCACCAGGTGACACTCTTCAGACCTTAGGCTTGCGGGGGAGGGGGGGATTGGTGGGGAGGGGGGGGTCTTCCCTTCCAAATGCCGTTGTTTTGAAAGGCACTAGAGGCAGACTCCTAGAGTCCAAACCAAAATACCCTATAATGACTTCAAAACTTTATTTTAAACTTTATTTTAAACATAAGCATTTTGACTATAAATTTTGACATGTATTAAAAGGAGGAAACACAAAGACTTCTTTTATTCAATATTATTTCTAGCCCAGTAAACACTAAAACCTGAAAAGAAACCTCCCATCATATTCCTTCCTAAATATTTTAAGAAGATAAGGACATGCAGGGACAGAGAGTTGGATTTCAAATCATGGACTGCATTGTTTTTTTTTTTTTTTTTTTTTTTTTTTAGCACAAATTATGAAGACATTTATTGCCATGATAAACATCAGAATAAATTTCAGAGTTGTGGATGCCTCTGGGTAAAGATGGATGGAACAGGATCAAGGAGGGGTGCACAGGAAGCTGCAATTTTTATCTGTCACCAGTTTTTTCCTTTTAAAAAGTTTTAATTATTTTTAATTAAATTTTTATTTAAATTTTTATTTTATATATATTTTACATCATTCTTCATTTTTGTACAATGTATGTTTTCTTTTTTTTTTTTTTTTTTTTTTTTATAAATTTTATTGTTATATTCCCCATACAATTGCAGCCCCCCATTCTGACCCCAATCCCTCCCCTCCCGCCCCCGCCCGCCTAAAAGTGTCTCTGGTTCATAGTTTTTTGTTGATTTTGATTTTCACTTTCTTATAGTTATTCATTTTCCTGGTCCCTTATTTAAGTTTTCTAGATATGGACTGCATTGTTTTGATGTTAAAAATACAAAAATGTTTTATGTTCCTCTAAGACTGAGGCAAGCTCCCTTCACTACCCAGGGCATACACACAATTTGCAGGGTTGAAAGAAAGAAATATATACTTAAACATAAATGTTTAAAACTCGCAGACATATTTAAATAATTCAAAGCATTCAATTTATTAAGATCCTCCTATGAGCAGGACATTGTACTAGAAATGTAAAAGCAAATAGCAAAAAAGAGCAATCAATACCCTCAGCAACCTGTTTGAGGGCTCCAAATATTAGAAAAAATTTAAGATAACATATAAAGCATCACACCATTTCTTGACATTCACAGGGTTACCCCACATCTCTCAAAAATAATAAATTAAGTCAATATTTCAAAATATTAACATTTAATATTTCAATTACATTTCTCCCCTTCAAATAAAGTATAACTAAAAATTTCAAGCGATCTTTTCATATTCTGTCTACCATGGTCTGAAAAATGCTGATTATTTCCACTCCAAATGCCTATTGTTACTCTCAATGAATTGTACCTCACACTTTGAAATTCCTGTCTCCTCCTTAAATATTTAGTAGACCTCTTCTCTCTCCCTTCAATTTTCTTTCCAATATTGGAAGTTGACTCCATCCCCTGACTCCTACAATTCCTTTTTTAATGGAAAAATATTGTTGCATTAGTTTTCCATGAATTGTTCATTTACCAAGTTGATGTTGCATATTTTTGCTTTTAATGATAAACTTGTTCATTTATTAGGTAAAGCTGTTTTTGAGATGACTATAGGCAAGCTGTTATTTGCTCTGTTGATTTTTATTTTTTGCACTGTTCTTTACAGAACTGATGGGTTTCAGGTGCAGCTTCTCACCTGAGCAACAGTGTCCATCACACCATACCCACCAGCAAATGCTCACTCAGCATCACCAACCACTTAGCCTCCACCTACCCTCCCTCACCCTCCTCTCTGTAACCACCACTCTTGTCAGAATCTAAGGGAGTGTTGTTGCTGTGTTTATTTGCTTTCCCCACTTATATTCCACAAATGAATGAAATCATATTGGTATTTGTCTTTCACCCACTGACTTATTTCACTTAGCATAATCCCCTCAAGTTCCACCATGTTGTCACAGATGGCAAAATTTCACCTCTTCTTTATAGCTGAGTCATATTCTAACATATTCTAACATATTCTAACATTCTAACATTCTAACAGCACACCAACTTCATCTAACCATCTGTCATTGGGCCTCAGGTTATCTCCTTATCCTGGCTATTCTGAATAGGCAAGCTATTCTATTCTAACTCAAGCATTATTGGGCCTCCCCTGGTGGCGCAGAGGTTGAGAGCTGGGCTACGAAGCTGCCCACAGCCTCTGCAGTGCCAGTTCGATCCCCAGCTACCAGCAAGGGTCCACATGGCTCGACAGCAGTGTATTTCGTCAGTCTGCCTGTTCTGTTCCCCGCTCTGGCTCTGGTGGATTCTCTCACCCTCCCTTGCTTCTGAGTGTACCCAGTGCTTGTATAAATAAATAAATAAATCTTAAAAAAAATTACTTTAAAATAATTTGCATTATTGATAGGAATGCAAGTGGGATTATTTTGAAAGTGGGATTATTGGTGGGTTGATCTTAAAGAATGACACTGATCTTCAGATTTGGCCATGTTCTCCCATGTTGAGAAAGGTCACCGCAACACCAAAGACATTGGCTATATTCAAGTTGCAAGGCCTGAAATGTACCTTCTTGGAATCTTTTCTTCCTCCTGGGATCCTGGAAAAATCAAGCGGGACCTATGACCATCTTTTCACTTATGTCTCCTTTCTCAACACTAAAGTGGTGCAGGTCCCAGCTATCTACATGAAGCCTTTTCTTGTTTGCCCGGTCTTTGGACTCTTCTCCGCATTCAGCTTGTCTCAGGGCTGTTGCCATAGTTGTGAGTAGCATAGGGCAGCCTCTTTCTAAGCATTGGGACATTATTTTTTTACAGATTTATTTATTTATGAATAAAAGAACTGGGGTATAGGCCAGAAGTGTGGTGGGGAGGGGGTGGGTGAGAGGATTCACCAGAGAGAGCAGGGAACAGAACAGGCAGACTGAGGAAATACACCGCTGAGGGGAGCAGTGGGTGAGTCAGGAGAGTGCTGCACCATGTGGGTTGCTCCCTGGCAGGCCAGGGATTGAACTCGTGCTGCAGAGGCTGCGGATTGCTTCATAGAGCTGTGCTTAACCCCTTGCACCACCAGGGAGGACCTGGACAAGCATTTTTGGTGTCTGTCTCACTTGATGTGTTTCTTCTGCCCCCAGAGGATTCACATTAGATTGTTAAGAATTGAAGGGTCAGATTTGGATTTGGAAAAAAAAACAAAG